CTGCCAGGAGGGGGAAGCAACCAAAGTGTCCTACGATAGATGATTGGATAAAGAAGCTGTGGTGCATATATACAATGGAATATTACTCAGCCATAGGAAGAGATAAAATACTGCCATTTGCAACAACATGGATGGACCTTGAGATAATCATGCTAAGTGAAATAAGCCAGACAGAAAAAGTTGGAAATCACATGATATCACTTATATGTGGAATATAAACCCAAAAGCAACAAAGGATCAGTACACACAAACAGAGACTCATGTACATGAAATATAAACTAGTGGTTACCAGAGGGTAAAGCGTGGCAGAAGTGGGGAGGTAGTTGGGGTAAAGAGGATCAAATATGTGATAACAGAAGGAAATCTAACTATGGGAGGTGAACACACCATGTAAACATTTAGATGCCTTACTGTTACAGTGTACAGATGAAACTTATTGGATTTCGTTAACCAATGTCACCATAAAAAAAATAATTTTTTTTTAAAAGAAACTGGTGGTGGGCCAGAATTGGCTTGAGCACTGTAGTTGGCCAACCTCTGCCCATTTTAAAATGAGGAAAGTGTGACCTAGAGAGGTTAAAATCTTGCTTAAGATCACATAGCTGGTAAAAAAATAAATAAATAAAAATGGATCTGAAACCCAAACTGTCTGCAGAGACCATCCTTAACTCCTAACCATTGCACTTTACTGCCTTTTAGAAAAAATAATAGTGTTTTCATAACCTTCTGGCTGTATGATCATAGTCTTTTGGGGTTAAAAGGAGTCTTGGTGAATATCTAGTTCCAGTTCATCCTAGATGTGATGATATATGATGATGATCGTGCTCAAGATGAAAATAAAACTTAACATTGTTCTCCAAGTAATTAACCCAGACTCTGCTATGTTTGATCTTTCCAAGACCTTACTAGAGCCCTATGATGATGCCCCTGTTTTAGAGAGTAAATTTAAAAAGGGGTAGTCATTTCAACAGGTCGCATCGTGAGTAGGATGAAGAGTTGGGATTCAAATGCAGATTGTGTGGCAAAGACATTGTTCACCAAAAATTCAAGCCTCCCTCCATGTCTCAGTTCTAGAATATAGATTTGTCACTGGGACATGACTTCCCAACCACAGACTATATTTTCCAGCACCCTTTGCAGTTAGGTGTGACCATTTATAAGGTTCTAGCCAATGGACTATCAGAGGAAGTAATACACACCACTTCCTGAGGTGGCCCATATAAACCTCCCTCATGGGACTCTACCACACTCTTTTCTCTTTTCAGTTGATGGAAATGGAACGGACCCCAGGATGACCTTGGAAACTGTGTATGGGAGATAGAAGAGCCTCCATGGGCCTGAGTTTGCAGAACAGACACCCTCAAAGCTGTTTGCTCACCTTCTACTGATACATAGGGGAAAATTAACTACTCTTGTGATAAATCATTGGCATTTTAGAGTTCATTTGTCACAGCAGCTATTGTCACTCTATGTAATACCATCAGTCTGGCTCTTAATCACTTTGCTGAATGGCCCCTCAGAAGGTACAGGTCTTGTCAAAGTCACACAGGAAGAGAGCTGAAATGGGAACTCTCGCTTTTTTTCCTGCTATTATTTCTTCAAGACATGATGGCTAGATTTGACTATGTCAATGAGGCGATTTGGTTAAGTCACCTACCTCAGGCTCAGTTTGATCAATTGCTGTGAGGAAGAGGAGGTGGGCCAGAAAGAGGCAGATGGAGAGCTGCAGGTGGAGGGAGGTGTTGGTGTTCTGGATGGGTCGGCACAGGAGGAAGGTGAGGGTTGCCAGGAAGAGGCACAGCAGAGAGAGACTCAGTCCCAGGTAGGTGATCGCAGCCAGAATGGGATCCACCTATGAACCACCAAAGGAGGAATCTGTTATAGTCTCCAACTCTGCAGTTATGTTCCTGATGGGGAGTCTGAGAGGCTTCTCAGTTCAGCCCCGTAGATAAGTGACTTAACCTCTCTGAAACTTGGTGTTTCCATCTCGAAAATGGGGACGTAAGATCATTTACCACACAGGGCTGTTGAAAACTCAAACCACTAGACTAGTACTGTGCAAGAGAAATATGTGAGCCACATGTGTAATTTAATTTTTCTAGTAGCTATATTTTTAAATGTAAAAAGAAACTGGTCAAATTAATTTAATAGTATATGTTCAAAATATTTTTAGCTCGACATGTTGAATATAATATAGTCACTATAATAATACAATAAACATGTAATCTGTTCAAATTATAATCAATGTAAAACAATTATTAATGAGCTATTTGATACTCCTTTTTTTCCCATATCGCCTTTCAAATCCAGTGTATATTTTACAACATCATACTTACGTGTGTTACTTACAACATACCTCATTTCAGACGCTATATTTTCAATGAATGTGAAATGTAGTCTTACCAAAAAATAAAGTTGTGTTTGATGGGAAAATGTTTTACACTGCTTCTTCATTTAAATAAATTAAAATTAAACAAAAATAAGAATTTGGTTCTTCAATTACACTAGTCATATTTCAAGTGCTCAATAGCCACGTGTGGCCGGCCGGCCAGTGATCCTATTGGATGGATGACACAGCACTCAAAAGTAGTCTCCATGAAGGCTAGGATTTCTTTATCTGTCTTGTTCCCTGATGTATTTGCAGTACCTAAGACAGTATCTGACATATATTAATTAGGCACTCATATATGAACTTGTTGAATGAATAAATGAGGCCATATAATTAAATGAGCAACATAATCATTGTCATATAGTACATATTCGATAAATAAGAACTAAAAAGAAATAGGGGAAGAAGTTAGGTAAAATTTTTTTAAACCTGAGTTATCCTAAACATAGTTGGGACCCGAGAAGTTCAGGGGGCTGTGCTTTTTTATTGGTGAATATCAGTTGCCTTTCTCTGATCTGACTAAGAAGATTTAGCTGTAACTCTCTCTTGCAGAGGAACAGATGTTTTTTATCCCAAATCACCTTAGACTTTTCCACTGTAAGGGCTGCCAATCCAACTACCCAGTGTCTGAGAGCTTCCTCTACTAGCTTGAGCTCTTTCTGTCCATGCCCATGGAAGTGTCAGAGAATTCATTGTCCCCTGGAAACAGCTTTCAACTAACAACTGAAGGGAGGTGGTGTATAAATACCCTAGCTTTCTTGCTGTTCAGTTAGAATGAACTATAGTAACTCACAGAATCCTCCAGGGAAATCAGCTCCAGCTACCACAGGGGTAACCACCAGTGATGCTCTCTCTGCATGGCTTCTCTTCTTTTCCCATATCATTTCCCTGGTCTCCTCATCTCTCTAGTAAGCTCCTTCCACTCGACTCAGTATCTTTTTTTTAATTAAAAATTATTGGAGTGACAATGCTTAATAAAATCAAATAAGTTTCCAGTGTACTTTTCAATAGTTTTGAAGACATAGAGAGGATGACTTCCCAGCTTCCTGGACATAGTTAGATTCACAGGAGAGAACCATGAATTTTGGTACCTTAGGAACAAGAGCCAAGAGTACAGCAAAACTGGAAAGGTGGAAGCACTTGCACGTGGTGTAAGAATCATTGCTGCTCACGTGAGTGCAGCCCTCTGTCGACCAGCTGCCTCCTTCCTCCGATCCTTCCCAGTAGACACACAAATGTTTTGTTCTCTCACCACCAGGCTGGAAAGAGAATAGCATGAAAGTGGTTCTCTTTCTGGTTTAATCATTTCAACTTCATAGGTTGGTCAGGGATGCACTGGGTTAGAAACTGGATTGAGAAAACCCCATCATCTGGAACACTTGTAGGGAAGAGTTTTATACCACACCTGCTGTGAGCTTTATTCTTCATTGATTCTGCCCTGCTCTAGTCATCTCAGAGCCCCAGGAACTGACTCTTATGAACTGCTTTCCCCATACTGCTTGTCGTTGGTAAAACCAATGAGAGGAACTGGTGAGAGAGCATTAGATGAGAGCAGGATATTTCTTCCAGACTCCTTTTTACCCCGGGCTATCTCCATCTCCAGCAGGGCACCCCTCCTTCATGCCTCCAAGCTTCACTGGGATCAATAATACTCATCCCCCTACCCCCATTGCCTTTTTAGGCTTAAACGTGATAACAGCTTCTCTGGACACCTCGATATTTCTTGTAGGTTCTCTTAACCCTGAATGATAAGATTTGGATTCAGTTCCCTGCCTGGATCCTAACAATACAGCCCTTTAAGGTATTGCACAGAGAACCAGCCCTGTGTCTTGCTCACCTCAGTATGTTTGAAGGTCAGGAACACGGGTCTAGACAGATAAACTTTTTCCTTCATACCGATGGTGCCACTCACAATACGAGAGTTCAGTTTCACTCCCACTGTCCTTCTTCTGTCACTGAAGAAGGATCCATTCAGAATATCCCCAAGACACTGATAAGTGATAAATGCAACTGCACTCCTTTCTGAGAAAACAGAAGAGAAATTATTTTACAGGGAATATACAGTTTGGTGAGTTGGAATTGAAAATTTTGTAAGTCTACACCCCCTGGCCTTGTCACCTAGAAGTGAGACAACAGAGCCTAGAATTTGAAGGTCCAGAGAATCCATTTTAGACACAGTACCTCCTGTGGTTCCTTTGAAAACATCATTGCAGTCAAGATCCATTGTGTTATTTCCAGCTTCCAGAACAGTCTTCTCACTTGTCTCATTGCACTTCTTGATCTCATAAACTGGAAACATTAAGAAAATTAATCCTGCTTGGCTCATATAAACACAAAAGTCTGATAAAAGATCGCCCTCCTAAAATTTCTTGGTCATAAGGAAAATGCTCAGTGTTTCTTACCTATATCAAGCACAGAATTTTCGAACTTTCCAGGAGAAGCAAAACTCCTATTCCATATGGTTGATTCAATGTCTTGAAGTAGCTGGGTAGCCTTTTTTGCAATGTTCTCTTTGCTTCCATTGTTCTTTAGAATTGTCTTTCAAAAAATAAAGCTAATTAGGCAGACTTACGAAAACTAAAGGAAGTAGGAATCTATATAAGTGTATTTGGGTGAACCCAGAAGACAATAACATTTATTAAGGTGCTACTAGGTTCTGTGTTATCAGCCTGTAAACTTTCTCATTTACCACACACAGCTGTGTGATCCATCACCCCATTGTATTTATGAGAACATGAAGGCTTAAAAGATGAGATATCTGGAAACTACAAAGAGTGCCTTTTGGAAGAAGATAGGGAATAGGAGGTGGCGAGGGAGTGGAATGTGCCTCTGGATCTGGGGTCCCCAACCCCTGGGCCATGGACTGGTACAGGTCTATGACCTGTTAGGCACTGGGCCACACAGCAGGTGATGAGCAGCAGGCAATCAAGTAAAGCTTCATGTGTATTTGCAGCCACTCCCCAGCGCTAGCATCACTGCCTCAGCTCCATCTCAGATCATCAGGTGTTAGATTCTCATAGGAGAACCGATCTCTAATGCCAAAAAGGCTGGGAACTGCTATATGTTTGATGCAGGTCTCTGAATGACTGCTGTGACATTTAAACCCTTTCCCGGGGTTTTTCAATCTTCTCAATTAACATTTGAGACCAGATGATAGTTGCAGGAGGGCATTATAAGATGTTTAGTAGCATTCCTACTCTCCACCCACCAGATTTTAGTAGTACTCTAGTTGTGCCAACCAAAAATGTCCCCAGACATTGTCCCCTGGGAGAGGATAAAATAATCACTGCATAAGAAGTGCTATGTCCTAAAAGTCATAGGGAGTCATGGTAGTATTTGAGCAGGAGAATGACATGCTAAGATTAATCGGCTCTTCCCCAAACCTAGCTTCACCTTACTCACCTGAATGACTTGTGATAACTCTGTCTCCTTACTACTGTTCTCTGGGGGGGAAAGGCAATTGATTAGTCAAATATGGGAGATAACATTCTGGCTCACATCCCATCTTCCAAGCACCCTCAAGTTGGGTCTTTCACTGATACTTCCACATCCTATCCTCATTTTCCACTAAGAAGTCTCAAATGTCATTTAGAGTAGAATAAAGGGAATTAGGATGGGGCTTCCAGTTCAATCATTCAGTCAATAGTATTTATTGAGTAATTACTAAAAGCCAGACACAATGCAAAACCTTATTGATAAAGAGGCAAAGGGAATTCTTTGTAGAGTTTGCAGTCTAGTGGGAAAATCACTAAGCCAATAATGACAAATAAATAATTAAGTGATTGCAAGAGTCCAAGATGTTAATAAATAGAAAAAGGTGACTTTGGAGTATATACAGAAGAGGCCTCAGCATATCAGGGGTGCAGCAAAGGCTTAAAACAATGGAAATTTATTTTTCTCATGGTTCTGGAAGCTAAAAGTCCAAAATCAAGGCCATGGCCCCTCTGAAGGCTCTAAGTATGATCCCCCTTTGCTGCTTCTCATTGTTGCCAGGAATCTTTGACATTCCTTGGTTTATGGCAGCCTAACTCAAACCTATGCTTCTGTCTTTACATGTTCCTCTGTGTGTATATCCCGATTCCCAAATTTCCCTCTTCTAATAAAAACATCAGTCATACTGAATTAAGGGCCCGTCCTAATCTAGTGTGACCTCATCTTGATTTGATTATATCTCCAAATCCTGTATTTCCAAATAAGAGCACCTTCACAGGTTCCGTGAGTGAACATCAATTCGGGGAGATGGTATTGCACCTAGTACGTGAGGTGAGCAGGTTTCTGAAATGACTCTCAGTGGTCCTGCCTCACTTCCCTTTATTCACATCTTTGTATGTGAGTTCACTCTTCCCGCTAACTGAACTCTATTCATTCCTAGTGAATAGATTACAGCAAAAGTGAAAGGATGTCACTTCTGAGGTTAGGTTATAAAGGTCTATGATTTCTGTTTTGTTCACACTTCTGAGGTTAGGTTATGAAGGACTATGATTTCTGTTTTGTTCACAGTCTCTTTCTGGCTATTCTCATGTGCTTGTTATAATAAAGCAAGATAGAGAGGCCGACACAGCTAAGAATGGAAGGCGGCCTCTCACCAAACACCAGAAAGGAACTGAGGCCTTCAGTCCAATAGCTTTCGAAGAACCGAATCCTGCCAGCAACCACGTCAGTGAGCTTGCAAGCAGACGAACCTTCGCATAAAACTGCATCCCTGACCAATACTTTGATTAACCACAAAGTGAAGGACCAGGTAAGCCATGTCTCGCTTCCCAGCCTATACAGACCATGAGACAATAAATATGTGTTGTTATGAGCCACTAACATTGGGGTCATTTGCTGGATGGCAACACATAACTAATAGAATAGATGTTATTATTCTTCCCACTTATAGATGAGGCATGTAGAAGCTAGTCACTACCCAAAAGTTAGCTGGTAAGTGGTAGTGCCAGAAATCAAATCCAACTGTCTAAATCAAAACATGGAATTATACTATGAATGAACAAAATAAGTCAATAGGTTGTGATAGTGAGAGCCATGATTTTCAGTGTTGAAGAAAGAAGTTACAAATCAGGAAAGAGGGAAGGCTAGACCAAGCCCGATGTGAGATTTAAATTGGAGCTATCAGTGTGAACTCATGGATTTTAGTATGCAGACAGACAGATAGACACAGAACTTGAATTTAAAGTCAGTAAGAGAGAAGCAAGTAGAGAAATACAGTAGAAAATTAGAGATGTCATTTTGGAAACCCAGAAAAGAGACATAAATTTGTAAGGCAGTGACCTAGAGATGGTGGATGAGACCATAAACCTGAATAAGACCTTCTGAGAAGAGACTACCGAGGAAGAAGGACAAGGGCTGGGACAGGTCTCTGCTCTCTTATACTGGCTTGACATTGGAGGAACTCTGAAAATCCTCCCCTGCCCCTCCTTGTTCACACTGGAGAGAAGATTGTAGGTTCTTACCATAACATTCTGAATGATTTAATTTAACAAAACTAGCCACCCAGTTTAAGATAGGGAGATGTGGGATACAGCTGCAGTAGTAACTTCCAATTTCATTTCTGCAGTATGACACCTGTTTGCATTTTGCCAGCCCAGTCTTGCACTCATCGATATCTGTGAATCAAGAAAAAATATGGTTTTTCATTCTCATAGAACTATGCCATTTCTCTTTCCCATGGAATCTTTGCTACCCAACATCATTCATAAATGTACCCAGAACAACATCCACTCTTGGATAAAATGACTCAATATTATAACAATGATAGTTCTCCTTAAGTTAATTTATAAATCCAATATGATCCCAATAAAAAATATCTACACGTATTTAATGGAGTGAGATGAGTTGATACTCATCTCATGCAAAAATAAAATGGCCATAAAAACTATGGGGTGGGGACTAGCCTGATCAGACATTAAAACATACTACAAAGTCTCGATAAAACAATGAGATGCTAGTACATGAATAGATAAATAGACTAGTGGAATAGACTAAAGGTCCAGAAATAGACCCAAGTACATATGGAGCTTTAGAACATGGCAACAGTGGTATGATGATGACTGGACAACACGTTCTGTTGGCAAGACCATGAGAAGACAGGTACATTGCTGGTGAGAAAGCAAATTGGTACAACTTTTCAGGAATTAAATTTGGAATATCTAATCAAGCTACATGGATTTTACCTCCTGACTCAGCCATTCCACTTCTAGGGCTGTACCTTAAACACACACTTCCGCAAATATTGGCAACAGCCTAAATATCAAAAACAACTTAAATACCCATATATAAGAGAGGGTTGAATAAACTACAGTTCGTCCCACAGCCGTAAAAAAGAGAATGAGGAAGATCTCTGTGGATCGATTTGGAGTAATTTCTAGGATAAATTTAAGCAAAAAAAGCAAAGTGTAAAAGGGTTTCTGCAGTGTCCTAGCAAAAGTGTCAAAGTCACAGAAAACAAGGAAAGATTGAAGATCTGTCACAGATCACATGAGACTAAGGGTCATGACAATTAAAGGCAATGTGGGATCCTGAAATGGTTCTTGGGACAGAAAAAAATGGGCATTGGCGGGGGAAACTCGTGACATTTGAATAAAGGCTGTAGTTTAGTTAACATCACTTCCTGGTTAACATGACTTGTGTTCATGTCCTTAGTTAACCTTAATGGAACTGGGTGAAGGAAATAAGGAATTCACTGTGTTACTTTGCAATTTTTCTTTAGGCCTAAAACCATTTCAAAATTAAGAGTTTAAAAAATAGATACATCCAGTATTGTGTGATTCCACTCATATGAGGTCCCTAGAGGAGTCAAATTAACAGAGATAGAAAGTAGAATGGTAGGTGCCAGGGGCTGGAGGAAGAAGGAGAGTTATTGTTTAATGGAGACAGAGTTTTTTCAGTTTGAGAAGGTGGAAAAGTTCTGTGAATGGATGGTAGTGATGGTTGTACAACAATGTGAATGTATTTAATACCACTGAAAGACATACCAAAAAATAGTTAAAATGATAAATTTCAAGTTATGTATATTCTGCCACAATAAAATAAAACAAATCCTAAATAATCTATAATTTTCTATTTCACCTTCTAAATTGACACTACAACTCTGTCAATAAGATATTCAGTTCCACCAATCAGATATTCAGGAGTGCTATTTTCTTTAATATTCAAATTGACCTTTGGAATTTGTGGAAATGGGAAAGGATTTTGGCTGAAGAAGATGGCCCACCAGTAATGAAAAGCAAAATCGAAATACTAAACTGGGGGCAGATCATGGAGGATATCAAGTGCCAAAGATATCCATTTATTCATGTGTTCTCTTGGTCAGCGTGTTTTTATTGGGCATCTGCTATGTGACATTATTCTCTGTCTTAGGCATACAGCAACAAACAAACAGAGATGATCCTTGTCCTTGAGAAGTTCTCAGGCAAACAAACAAACAAAAACACTAGTGCTTTAACCCTCAAAAGCCCAGGACCCTGGGAACTTTACCTTCCCCTAAAGAAAAAACAAAAACCATCAAGCTGGCATCAGACGAGAGTGTGAGAAGCACAAGGGGCATTGAGCACAAGTTCTTGAAGGGCATTGAGACAGCCTTGACATTTTCTATTTTGTAATATTCTTGCATCTTTGCAGTACTACTGACTCCAATGTAACACAGTGTTTGAGGCATAGAAGAATGTCCCAGCCCCTTCCCAACTTCAAGATGAGTATGGATTGCATCCTACCTTCACATTTCTCATAAGGCCCGATGATGTACTTCTTCCCAGACTCAGACTGAAATCCATCTTTACAAGTACAGTGGATGCTGTTAAAGCAGCTGGCATTTTCAGGGCATGGGGGACATAAAGCTATAGGAAACACAAGATCCTTTCATTCATTTGCTTATTCATTTATTCAAAAAATATTTATTGGCATCTATGATGTACCAAACATTGTAGTCAAAAAAATGTGCTCTTGGAAATAGCTCTGTTTGCATCCTTTTTGTACCCATCCCACTACTGAACACAGATGCTCAAAGTGCCCCACCTATGTCCCACCTCTGCCACCAATACCACTTTTGCCTGACAGTAGAAATTCTCTGTCAGCATCTATGTTTCTTTACCTGAGAGATTTCTTTGGCCCCTAGAGTTCTTTTTGCTCATCACATAACAGGTTAGCAATTTTTCTACCCCAAGGAGCAGTTCCCTCAATCAGTGACTGACAAGAGTCATTATTTAAAAACCTAGCTTCCTTATTATCAAAAATAAACAGAGACTAACAAGTGTTGGTAGAATGTAGAGAAATTATAACCCTAGCCCATTGCTGGTAAAAAATGTAAAATGGTGTAACTATTGTGGAAAACTATATGGCAATTTCTAAAATAAAAAATAAAAATTAGAATTACCAAATTACTATAGGATCCAGCAATTCTATTAATGGGTATATATCTGAAAGAATTAAAAGCAGGGTCTTGAAGAGATATTTATATACTTATCTTTATAGCAGCATTATTCATAATCACTAAAAAATGGAAGCTATCCAAGTGTCCATCAACAGATGATGGATAAACAAAATGTGGTCCACCCAGACAATAGAATATTATTCAGCTTTAAAAAAAAAAAAAGAAAGAAATTCCAACACATGCTACAACATAGATGAACCATGAAGACATTGTGATAAGTAAATTAAACTCATCACAAAAGGACAAATGATATATGATTCCACTCATAAGGTCCCTAGAGTAGTCAAATTCATAAAGACACAAAGTAGAATGGTGGTTTTCAGGGGCTAGTTGGAGAGAAAATGGGGAGTTGTTGTTTAATGGAGACAGAGTTTCAGTTTTGCAAGAGGAAAAATGTTCTATGGATGGGTGGTGATGCTGGTTGTACAACAATGGGAATGTACTTAATGCCACTGAACTACACACTTATAAATAGTTAAGTTCATAAATTTCGTTATGAATATTTTACCACAATTTAAAAAAATAAATAAGAGGAAAACAGCTTCCTTACCCACCAGGAGGAACAGTTCCAAGATTCATGTTTCTTATTAAGTCTAACAGTCCCTGAGGACCAAGCTCCAGTTGCCCATGTGTAATTTGCTGGACAATGAACCCTATATTGGCTCCTGGCTGTCCTACCTGACTTCCCCCTTCCAGCAGGTGCTTCCTGGGATCACCTCCCATATAAATGTCTTGCTTTCAAGTCCTAACCTCATGGTCTGCTTCTAGGGGAACCCAACCCAAGATATAGGACAAAGGCAACACTATCTCCAGACATGACTTGGGACACAGGTTTTGGGGAAAAGAAAGGGCAGAGTCCAGAGTCCACTAGCTGTGTGACCTTGAGCCAACTATTTCTCTAGGGGGTCAAGTGGGGATAATATCAAAACCTTTGCAGTAATGTCATGAGAATTAGATGAGATGGAGTGTGCAATTTGCTTAGCACTGGAGCAATGAAAGAGCTAAATAATGGGGATGATGATGGCGATGGTGGAGAACGGGAACAGTCCTTGGGAACTCCAAGGATTTGGCAGAAGGCATCAGGGATTAATATTCTCTCCCTTAAAAAGGACTCCTCTCCTCCTCTGGAGGCAGGTTTCAGTTCTCAATTTCCTTTCCCCTGGCCTTTGGCAATTGTAGACTCACCTCCAGAATTCTTTGCTTCTGATCCTAACAGAGCCAGCAGGACACTGAAACCTAGAACAGGGGGAGAAGGGGACAGTTCAGATGGGGAGTACCCTGGGCTCTGCTTGGCTAAAGTCTGGGTAAAGTAGAGTCTTTTCTCCCACTTCCCAGCCATACACATGCTAATTTCACTATAGACTCTCCCAGGTAAACTATAAACACAAGGGTCTTAAATGGCATCATATACTACTAGAGCATGAAAGATATACCTGATTGCATCTGTAAGAGGTTCTACACCCAATTCTAATGTGTGTGTGGTGGGGGAGGGGGTGGTGTTCCCACACCAGCAAGAAATTCTTGGATGCCAATTGGGTGTCCTACAATTCAACTCACTTCTGACACTCTACCCAGAGATAGCATCAGATTCCACAGGTTAAGGGCTATAGATTGGAGGTTCCATTGTTCCCTCCTTGGGTTTGATTAATCTGCTAGAGTGGCTCACAGAACTCAGAGAAATATGTTCCTTATTAGATCACCTATTTATTGTAAAAGAATACAGCTCATGAACAGCCACGTGGAAGGAATGCACAGAGCAAGGTGTGGAAAGGAGAACAGAGCTTCCATACTCTCTCTGGGCACCACTTTCCCCAAATCTCCAGGTGGTCACCAACCCTGAAGCTCTCCAAGCCTTGTCTTTTTGTGTTTTTATGGAGGCTTCATTACACAGGCACGATTAACTCATTGGCCCTTGATGACTGATTCAACCTCTAGCCCCTTTCCCTTCCCTAGAAATCAGAGAGTGAAACTGAAGGTTTCAACATGGTTGTCTCCACTGTCAGCCAGCACCTGTCCTTAGGTGAGTTCCAAAAGTCACCTCATTAATATAATAAGAGACAACTCTGTTGCCTTATCCCAGGAAATTCCAAGGGTTTAGGAGCTCTGTGCCAGAAACTGTGATAAAGATCAAATATATATTTCTTATTATAAATCACAATATCACAAACTGTGTGTCCCAATTTTCTTCCCCATATTTTTTTTCTCCAAGTCTACCACCAAAAGGCCAAGTTTGCAACAGTCAAGCTTGACCAGTTCAGATCTCTAACCCCACACTGTTTGATATAAAGCAAGCCACATAGTTCCTTTCAAGTTTTCTAGTAAACATTTTTTTAGTCTCATCCCCTCACCTGCCCCCGCTTTGGCAACCATCAGCTTGTTCTCTGAATCTATGGGTCTGTTTCTGTTTTGCTTTGTTCATTCATTTGTTTTATTTTTTTTATATTCCACATATAAGTGAGCCCATATGGTATTTGTCTTTCTCTGTCTGACTTGTCTCACTGAGCACAATACATAGCTTCTAGCTCCATTCATTTTTAAAGGCAAAGAGAAACAAGTAAAAGTAATTTTGATAATATACTTTGTTTAACCCACTATAACCAAGATGTTATTTTAACACACAATCAATATAAAGCAAAATATTCATATAGTACTATATTGCTGCATGTATTAAGTCTTTGAAATCCAGTATGCATTTTGACTGGCCTCATTTCAGGTGTTCAGTACTACAAATGGCTGGTGGCTACAGTACTGGACAGCACAGATCTAACCTCGTAATAACCAGAGATTTCTCTGGAATAAGAGGAGATCAGAATAGCACAGACCATAATCCCAGGAGTCCAAGACTGTGGCAAATTTGAAGTGGATACAGGTGTTTTCAGGGTGATCTATTTTGAGGATGATCTAAAAATGTCTACCATAAGATCAGAGAGAGCTTCATATTGAAGTTGAAGATGAAATCAGATGAGAAAAAACATGGTGGAGTGAGAGATGTCTCCAGAACTCTCCGCTTGAAACAACAATAAGCTGAACATCTAAAACTCAACAAAAAAACACCCAAAGTGCACACCAGCAAGTCTGAGTGTGGGATCTGTGCATAAGAGCTACCACAGATCAGAACCCTGAGTGTCAGACAGTGGACTGGGAGATAAAGAAGCTGCCTCTCACAGCCACCACAGCTCCTTGCAGGTGGAGGGAGAGGGGAGAAGGTGTGATGACTTCCCTGAGCAGCCCTGCCTGAGAGTGCAGTGAGCTCCATGCCACCGGCAGCAGGGCACAGTCAGCAGAGCAGAAAACAGAGAAGCCGGGGTGGGGGGTACTGCAGAGAAACAACAGTTGATTTTTATTAGCCCAGGTTGCTAAACTGAGTCTGAGTTGCAGCCCCCAACCCCCAACCCAGAGAGCTCCTCCCCACATACCCACCGAGTCCCACCACAGTGGAGCCCTAGGGGAATCTGAGCAAACACCGCTGAGACTGAGGCTACCTCTCACAGCCTCTGGAACTCCCTGCAGGAGGAGGAGGAGGGGAAAAGGGGCAGCAAGTTTGTGCGGCAAGTTCCCTGAACAGCTGAGCCTGAGGAAGTTATGAGCTCCCCCTTGGCCAGCTGGCTGCAGGGCCCAGTCATCAGAGCAGAAAGCAGAGAAGCAGCTGGCAGAGAAACAATAATTGATTTTTACTGACTATGGTCGCATACCCAAGGCTGAGCTTCAGCCCCCAACTCACAGAACAGAGGGGCCCTCTCCACATATCCTCTGAGATGGAACACCGCGAAGACCCAGAGGAATCTCAGCAAACACTACCAAAACTGTTGCTAACACTGATAGGGACTGAAACTGAGGGTAGTGAGCGTGATTAAATATCTATCAGAAAATAAAAAAGCATTTTTAAAACTTTATATAAAGCAGAGATCCAAGAGACTTGACGCCACCTACTGGAAACCAAGAGAAAAGTGCCTTCTTTAAAACAGGCTAAAGAGAGACCTTTATATAATAAATCTTTCTGGAAAAAGCAGAATACATTTCCATTAATGCCCAGGTAGAGAAATAGCCAATTAAACACCATGAACAACCAAGGTGACAAGGCATCTCAGAAAGAGAAAAATCTCCAGAAAATAAGCTTACAGACAGGGAAATATACAATTAAATGACAGAGAATTCAGAATGGTACTTCTGAAAAAACTCAATGAGATCCAAAACAACTCAAATCAACAATTTCAGGAATTAAAAAAAAAACAACTAGATGAGCAGAGCAAGGAGATTGAAACTCTCAAAAAGAACCAAATAGAACTTCTCGAGATGAAGAACACACTGCAAGAGTTAAAAAATGAAAAAGCAAGCTTGGGAAATAGAGTCAACCAAATGAAGGAAAGGATCAGTGATATCGAAGACAGAAATCTAGAAATAAAT